TGGATGATGATGAATGGAGGATGGATGAGTAGGCAGTGGGATGGATGGATGAATAATGATGAATAGATGAAGGATGGATGGATGGATGATGATGAATGAGTGGAGGATGGATTGTGAGAATTCCTAAAACAATCCCACCTTCTCACTCCACTTGGGTTCATTTGCTTACACACTAGAAAGGTATTGTGTGCCAGCCCCTTTGGTAGGTGCTGCAGACATGGAGAAGTGTCATGAGAGGAGCTGCACAGCTTTTCTCACTTAGACTGGCCTAAATGTTAATTTTACAAATTCGTCCATCCATCCATCCATCCATCCAACCTTCATGTGTCCAACACTGGCTATGTACTAGGGGTCAGGGCTGAGTCATCCATCAGGTGCCATAGGCACAGTGCCTCGGGTCCTAAAACCAGCAAAAAAAGAACTTTTAGGGTCAAAGAAAATTTTAATTTTTTTCGTTACATCAGAAAAAAAATGAAATGTTTAAAGCCCATGAACATCTATTATGGTAGGAGGGGCCAGCAAAGGCACAAGTACTGAAGGTCCATGAAGGTCACAATGCAGCCCTGCTGGAGACATGCTGGGGAACAAGGAAGAGCAATCCTTCCCTACCCTTCTGGAACACTCAACAGGCGGCAGAATCGGGCATCAATCCATGAGCCAGCCTCTGTCAGTCTCACTCCTGTGCAGCTTCATCCCTTCGAGTCTCCTCTCAGCCCTTGGCTTGGATGCCAGATCCCACTCCCTGTATTCAAGATCATTCAGCAAACGTCTACTGTGTCCCTTCTATGCACCTGGCGTCACGCGGGGGGCTGGAGAGCAGGCCGGCAACAAGACAGAGGTACACAGAGCCTCCAGCCTCCTCAAATCATGACCTGTTCTTACAGTGTCTTCGTCTCAGCAACACAACACTCACCAGCTTTGACAAAGCAACTTCTCACCTACATGTTGGATGTAACGGCATTTCCACCCAACTGATGGTTTCCAGCCTCCTCTTGTCTCAGCACTCCCCATGCCCATGTGTTGTCCACCTGGTGTCCTGAGGTACAGGTGTCAGAAGAGCCACAGGACAGGTTATGAGCTGAGGTCTGCTGTGATCAGTAAGGACAGAGAACTAGTCCTCTGGCTCCGGGCCACGGCTGGGGGTGAAGGACTGGCCTAAGCAATGGGCATCTTGTGTGAGCAGGAGTAATAGAACTTGTTGAAAGCAGAGATTACTGGAATCCGGGAGGCTTCAATCTGACCTTTGGTTCACTAATTGGACAAAACCCCTCCTCTGTGCCCTTTTCTTCATCTGCAACCTGAAAAGATTAGATACACACATGCCACCACCTCCCTCTCCCAGAACCGTGACGGACAGCAGTCGGTGATCACAGCACTCCTTCCTGCTGAGCCCCAATGCCCTGCAGGCCCCTCCACACGGGGGTCAGGTGGCCTTGCCAATACACACTGACAACCCTTACCATCCTTGACTTTGGACTCTATCATGCTTCTCAACTCGAACTGCATATTAGAATTATCTGGGCAGGTTAGGAAAATACTGAATCCCAGGCCTTACACAAGACCAACTGAATTGGTCTAGGGCCCCGTTATTTTTTTTGAAACAGTGTTTTTAGAAAGCCCTCAAGGAGATTCCAATGTGCAGACAGGGCTGAGAACCACCAGTCTAGATTTCAAAGCCAGGAATTCCATGATTTTTGTGAGAAGATGGGAAAGCTAGAAGATAGGACTGACTTAAAAAGAATCAGAGGAATCAGGTCTGTGTGATGGCATCCTCTCTCGGCTGCTTTCCGTCCTGCATGCGTGTTCTAAGAATTTCCCAGAGCCCCTTTCATGGAAGGGAACAACTGGCCCAGATTGGCTGAGGGTGACGGACAAACGAGTTCCCGCCCAGTCCCATGCCCCACCCCCTCAAGGCATCAGGATTAAGGCTCGTGATTAATGATTTGCAAGTCAATTAATCAGCTGCTGATTTGAAACCTCATTGCTCAGATGACTTCTCTTTGAACACAAGGGCTTTTTGACATCCCTGTACTGTCTCTAGATTCATTTCCTACTAATTGAAATTCCAGGATATTTCTTCTTCTTGTCAGCTTATTGGTATTACTTGTTTGTGAAATATTTGCAAACAGATTACTATTCACCTGTGGTGTGTCAGAGGTAAGCACCAAAACAATACTTTACGCCTCCCGCTCAAAGGAATGTGCTAATGATAGCTCGTGAAATTCTCTTTCTATGCGAAAGCTGATTTATCATTCATCGATTTATCTTAACCACACCCACTTGCGACAAGTGTTTGAGATGTATTACAATAAAAACACAGGTACGACAAGGCTCCAAACGATTGATTTATATGGATTCATACGACAAGGCTCCAAACGATTGATTTATAATAACGGCTGATTAATTTCCTTAGGAATGCTTGTTTAAAGTCGTACTTGTGGGCAAGGGGTGGGAAGGAGGAAATTGGCTTTCTTTGTCAGAGAAAGTGGTACAATTGAGAAGAGGCTCTGGAGTCAGATGCGGGGCTCCAATCCCAGGCCCTCCGCATATGAGCCGTGGTGCTCTGGTTATCTGGTTACCTTGTTGTTAGGGCAGGGGAGGCTGCGAGAACAAATGCAAACAGAAATATGTAAACGCTCAAGCTACAGAAGTCTGTTTCTCATTCAGCAACAGCTCAGGACAGTGTCTCTGGCCGCCAGGCTGCTCCATGTGGTGACTCAGGGACCCAAGCTCCTTCTCCATGTGGCGCCCATCCCTTGGGTCTTGTTTGTCTGTGTTCGGGTGGATAGAAGGAGGAGGACACAGAGGAGAGACACAGCTGTTCTCTTCACCCCAGCCCAGCCCAGCCCACATCACCTCTGCCCACATTCCACAGGAGAGAAGTCAGTCCCGTGGCCTCACCTAAGAGCAAGGAAGGCTGAGAGGAGGAGCGTAGCATCTGTTGGCATAGTACAGCATCACAATCTTCCTATGTTCTTGTTTATTATTAGTGAGATGATATGGGTGATGTACCCAATACCAGGCGTATGGTAAGAGCTCCAGAAAGAGTCTTTGCTGTGTGGTTTCAAAATAGTGACAGTAACTGTCTGCTTCGTTTGCAGTTTCAAGCCACCGTCGAGGAAGGAGCTGTGGGAGTTATTGTCAACTTGACAGTGGAAGACAAGGACGACCCCACCACAGGCGCGTGGAGGGCTGCCTACACCATCATCAACGGAAACCCAGGGCAGAGCTTCGAAATCCACACCAACCCTCAAACCAACGAGGGGATGCTTTCCGTCGTCAAAGTAAGGGTGCTTCCAACTGCTCCTCCCTCCCCTGTGAGCACTGGGGCCCCACGATGGGGCTCGTGGCCTCACTGCCTGGGGAAGGTCAAAGATAACTCAGCCCTGGTCTCTCCCTCCTGGAACTAGAAAAAGGCTCCCGGCGTAAGGGTGTACTTGTGTCCTCACAGCCATAAAACCAACCTGTTGTACAGGTTCTAGGAAACTCAAACTTGTGTGTAAGAATAAATCAACCAAACTTAATTTTTAAAAGAGATTTTCCACACATTTGATAACGAATTATCAAAGATATGCCAAAATGGGATATGTGAAGGTTTTTTAAAGACCTATGCTCAAAATGTGGATTATTGCATTTCTTCTTAATCTTTCTTAGCAGAGTCTCCATTATTCTCTTCAAGACAGGAGATGATTACACGCATGGCGTGAGCCTTGGTGTGAAAGCCCTGTGAGCATAGCTGACCAGCGTGCTGGCCTCTCTCTGGCCACAGGTGGAACTAGGAGGAGGAAGTGTGATAAGGGACAGACAGCCCTGGGCTCGCGAGAGTGCTCTGGAAATGTCGGGTGGGCCAAGTGCGGTGGCAGCAGAATGTGCGATGCTGGTGGTCTCGATGTCCTTTCTAGAAGGGATCTTCACGTACTTCCTCTCTCTTCCTGGTAAGGTCTGGGGAGAGCTCTGCCATACCAGGACATTCACTGAAACACAGTTTCTTTTCTGGTGGTGAAGCCATTTGCCTCAAAAGCAGGGAGTAGTCGTATTTCTAGAAATCGTGGCAGCGGAAAAAGCAGGAACACTGCTACCTGCTCCCTGTATGTCCGCGGCCAAGGTACCTAACTGTGTTTCCTGTGCCTCGGTTTCCTCATCTGTAGAACGAGGATGATAATACAGCCCACGCCTTGGGGCTGTTGTGAGGAATTCATGAGCTAACACATAAAACGTTTAGAACAGTGACTGGCACTTAGAGCCTTGTGAGTTTCCTATGGCTGCTGTAACAAATAACCACAAACCTGGTGGCTTAAAACAACACAAATTTATTCTCTTACAGTTCTGGAGGCCAGAAGTCCAAAATCAGTTTCAGAGGGCTAAAGTTGGCAGGGCTGGTTCCTTCTGGGGTCTCTAGGTGAGGATTGATTTCCTCGTCTTTTCCAGCTTCTGGAGACCACTCGCATTCCTTGGCTCATGGCCCCTCCTGTATCTTCAAAGCCAGCAGTGTAGCAACTTCCTCTCTCTCTCTGAGTCTGACCCTCTGCTTCCATTCTTACCTCTGCTTCTTACTTTGACTTTCTTGCTTCGCTCTTTTAAGGACCTTTGTGATTCCCTTGGGCCCACCTGAATAATCCAGGATCATCTCCCCACCTCAAGTTCTTAACTTAGTCACATCTGCAAAGGCCCTTTTGCCACATCAGGTCACATATTCGCAGGTTCCAGGGATTAGAACGTGGACACATTCAGGGTCATCATTCAGCCTAGCACAGGACTGTATAAACAACCGCACCAACAAAGTTCCACAACGTCCCTGGGGTCGGGACCCAGAGCCACCGAGGATGGCAGATCTCGGAGACGCTTCCGGCTTGCCCCAGAGGGTGAGGGGCTGGGCTTCTCCCAAGCCCTGCCCTTTTCAGTCCCTCATCCAAACCAAACCTCAAATGTCCAGCTGAGAAGAGCAGCCCTGGGTCTTCTCGATTCTTCGTCCCTAATAATGCAGGCAATGGCAGAGTCGTCAGGAGATCCTGACACCGCCCCCCTGCGTCCACTCCTGCAGTTTCGACGCTGTAGAAGTCATACAATAACACAGCCACTGGCTGTCCTCTGCTGCTAGCCCTGTATCTATAAAAGCTGTCAGGCAGTTTTCCAAACCTGCTGCTGGAAGACAAAGCTTGGGTAAATATACACCCATCATAAATCCTGCATGAGCACGGTTCTCCCCAGCCTGTGTCTCTATGGCTTGAGGAGAATAAAACACAAGCAAAACTAGACTCAAGAAGGGGCATGCTCCTCTCCCCACATTCCCACTGTGGCCCACCGTGCTGCGAGTCTGAAATGTTAGTACCTAGAAGAATCACCTGGAATGCTGTTAAAGCGCAGGTTCCTGGGCCCACCCCACACCTGCTGGGTCAGAACGTGACAGGGAGGTGCCCCAGGTGATGCAGGTGTTCACAGCCTCAGATGAGGAGTTTCCAGCTGCAAATTCCTGGGGAAGAGGTACCCCAGGGGTTCTCCCTGGGCTTCAGTTTTACTAATGAGCAGACTTCTTTTGCTTTAGAATTGGGATGAAGACTCCCTCTCCCTTTGGCTGCCCGCCATGTTAATCCCTACAAAGGGCCTTGAGCTCTCCCTGCCTCTGAGCACCTGGGTCAAAGAAGGACAGCCTTCTACAGGCAGGCCTAGGGCCAGCAGGGGACCCCACAGATGCTTCTGGCTTTTTCCTCATGGACATAAAATGGCTGCCAAAGCCCCAGCCATCAAGTCTTCCCTCTGCTGTGTTCCAAGGCAGGAAGCAAGGAGGCACTCTGTCAAGTGAGAGAGAGAGAGTGTGTGTGCTCTCGTGTGCCCCCCTCCTCTCATCAGGGAAGAAAATATCTTTCCCGTGGGGCCCCCAAACAATTTCCCATGATCTGTCATTGGCCACATGACACACGCCCACCCTCAGCTGCAAGGAAGACTAGAAAGCCCAAATGTGGCCATTGGGGCCTCTGCAGTAAGAGGAGAGTAAAGGAGAAGGGAGGCAGGCACGGCCATGGGACATGCTGACTGCTACCCAGTCAGCAGGCATCGTACTGAAGAACTAGCAGAGTCTCAGGATCTCGTGGTTTCTGGGGAAGTCCCTCCTCCCTACAGGACCGAATCCTAACAGGTCTGGCAAATGAGTACCTGTTTCCTCTTTAAGACCGTCTGGTCAGGAACCTCCTAGTTGCTTTGTAAACCTATTCCAAAACTGTCCGAGTTTCTCTTTCAGCTGCATATAATCCACCCTGCGTTTTAAGTCAATTTTCTCTTTTGTCCTCAGAGGAGAAGGAAGCGTCGAGAAAACAGGCATCCTTGATCGCCAAACCTGTCATAGGCTTAAAAATCACTATTGGATCCCTTCCAAATCCTCCCTCTTCCAGACAAGGAACCCCAGGCCCTTACTCTTGCCACGCGGGCCAGCTTTTCCAGCCTTCAAATCCTCCAGGACAGTGGTCCACACTCTGTCTTGACACTTGATGAAAGTTTAATTGATTGAATCCCTGTGACTTTATTGGAAGTGTTTTCAATTTCCTCCCATCCTGACACACAGACCCTGCACCAGACAAACCCCATTAATAAGGTCATAGGCCCGAGACGGCAGACAGCTTCTTAATCCGACCTGACCTGGGGCAGTTCTTGGGGGGACCGGGAGCAGAGACTCGAGTTTCAGCAGCTCCGGGTAGACCGGCCCGGGCATCGGACAACCGGATTATTACACACAGCGCTGTGCACGTGGAAGTATACACTGGGGAGGTTCTGCCCTCCAGAAGAGGCCAGCCTCATACCGTGGGGTTCAGTCTCTCTCTGCTCCCCTCTCTGTGGCGTTGCTCACATCTCCAGTCCTCAGAAGCCAGTATTCCACTCAGGGAACGCCAGCCCTGGAACATACCTGAAAATCCGGGCAGGGGGCAGCGGCTCTCCCAGCCCTTTCAATCCCACGTTCTTCCTCCCCATCTTGACAGCTCCTTCTTATTCTATCAGACCCGAGACCAATCTTGGGGCAAAACGTTCAACGTGCGTCACCTCGCCCAATCTTTGCAACAGTCCTTTGTACCAAGACTTCATTGATGAGAAAGCGGAGACTCCGGGAGGCATGTGCAGTGACGTGCCTACGGTCCTAGAGTCATCAAGTGCCAGGCCAGGACTTTCTCCCACCCCGCAGTCCTTGGAGAAAAGCTGGCACTTCACCTACGTACTAAGCCGCGTTGCTTCCCAGCGTGGATACAGCAGCCCAAGGCAGGGCAGAGGGTTGGAGCCTCGTCAGCATCACACGTAGAAACAGCATGTGGTATGAAAAGCAGTTGATTGTTATCAGCTCAGACTTTCTCATCAGGATCCCTGGGTCAAAACTCGGCTCTGTGCCACTTATTAGCTGTGTGGCTTTGTCTGAGTTACTTAACCTCTCTGAGCTCGCTTCCTCATCTGTAAAATGGGAGTACAAACACCTACTTTTGTGAGGGTGAGGTGGGGATTAGTGAGATGATACACGCAGTATTAGTGAGATGATACTCCTGGCACGTGGTGGGTGCACAATAAGGGATAGATAATGTCATGGAAAAGAGTGAGGGTTGTGAGGAAGATCAAATATATCTTGTGAGGCACATACATGTGTGCGTGGGTCTCAGGAGCTGTGGATGCCCCCCTGTTATGAGTTAAATTATGCCCCTCACCAAAAAAGATATTTGAAGTCCTAGCCGCCAGCACCTGTGAATCACCTTATTTGGAAATTGAGTCGTTGCAGATGTAATTAGTTAAGATGAGGTCCTACTGGAGCAGTGTGGACCCACGGGCCAATATGACTGTTCTTATAAGAAGACGGCCGTGTGAGGACAGATACACAGGGAGGAGGCCGTGTGATGGTGGAGGCAGAGATGGGAGTGATGCAGCTGCAAGTGAAGGAACGGCAGAAGCTAGGAAGAGGCAGGGAAGCTTCCCCTGGAGGTTTCAGGGGAGTGCGGCCCTGCTGACGCTCGATTTTGTCCTTCTAGTCTCCAGAACTGTGAGACGATTCGTTCCTGTTGTGTTAAGCGGCCCACAACTTTGTTACAGCCGCCCCAGGAAACTAATGCACCCACCTGGATTCCCTGCACCAGGTCAGGGCTCCCTCCCCAGAGCTTCCAGTGCTGTCAGATAACTGCCCCAGCCTCCCTCTTCCCAGCAGAATTGCCCTCACCAGAGAGGGAGCCCCAGGCAGGGAGGTTAGGCCCCGGCCCCTGGAGAGAGTCTGCAGTCTGGGCCTGACTGCAGGGGGATGCAAAAGGCCAGCCCGCCCGCCTGGAGGGGAGACTAATTCTGTGGTGCAGTCAGAGCTCCAGAGCCCCCACAGCGTCGGGCTGAAGCTGGGCTCCCGCAGAGAGCGTGGCCTTGCTCCCTCTCCCCTCTTCCTGAGAATGCACCCCAGTACCTCACACACGTCCAAATCCCTGCCTCTGGCTCCGCTTCCAGACTCTGCTAGAGTCTCGGGGAAGCCAGCTAGAGATAGCTCACACACACACGCCTGTCTCACGTAAAGACACACATGTACGTATCTAACATAGACGTACAGACACATCTAACATATAAGTACATGCATCTAACATAAGTCCACACGCGTACACATTTAACATAAACACGCATATACTTATCTGACGTAAATGCACACAGACCCCTATCTAACATAGAAAGACACACACATGTTGGCATCACTATTTATAGGCTGTGTCTGAAGCATTCAGATTCCTTCCCCTCGGGATCCCTGATCTTTCTCTACCAGAGTCTGCTCCACTCCCTCCGCTGCAAGTAGCTGAGCCTCCTTCCGACCACGCAGGCCTCAAACCCTGGCCCAAATTCTACTGTGCGTTAAGAGCCCTAGCTAACAAACTCCCGAACACCCTGCCCTAGTGGCGTTTTCATCCTGGTAGAAAATTCATTTGGGCTAGATTTGGGATCTTGCAACATCAACATGTTTAACTTTACTTTCAGAAAGATGTTGAGTTCCTGGGAGCTGGTATAGAAGAAACCCTCAGATTTGCCCTGTTGGGTCTGCCCGGTGCTGGGGTGGGGAGGAGAAGGTTCTCGGGAGACTGGGGTGTTCTGTGTGTCAGTCCTGCTCAGACTGCTGAGCCTCAGGGTTGTCTCGACCCAGCAAGCCAAAGGCTTCTGTCCCTTTCAGGATCCTAATTGCGATGAAGAACTGTGTTTTCCAAGTGTGGCAGCTCCCTGGCCCTTGTTTGAAATGTACTTTACTGAGGTTGCATGTTTTGGGCGTCTTCGGGAGGGGCAGATGTGTTGTTAGAGAGGAGGAAGGAGTGGTACATTAGTCTGTGTTACAGGGATGGAACCGGAATATAACTGGGTAGCTACTAGGTACCAACAGCTTTTCAGCTGTTAGCTCTTAAAATCCTAAGACCGACCCTGCTGGGGGCTGTTCCAGGTGAGGAGGGGGGTCCTGTGATGAGCAGGAAGCATTGGTGCATCAGCAGTTCCTGTGTGTGTGTGCGTGTGTGTACGTGCGTGCACGTGTGTGCACATGTACACATGCGGAGTGTGCTGCAGGTGTGTTACCCATGACTGTGACAAATAGTAACGCAGTTTGCCGCTGTCACCCCACTCCCCTGCTGGGTTCTGAGTCTCAGCCTCCCGCCTGCAGGGCTCTCCCCAGCTCCGCCGTCCTCGTCTCCAGTCCCGTCGTCCCACGTCCCTTACAGCCGTGCTGACATGTGCTTGCCTCTGGCTGAGGGCACAGCAATTCCTTTACTCCCTTTAGTCTTGGGCTCCTGGCAAGAATGTGCATTATGTCGGGGCCTGGGTTAGCTACTCGTTTTCCCAGTGAACTTTAGGAAAATAACTAGAAATACAGTGTCCCCCGTCTCACCTACGTGTCTCCGCATGCACCCTCGGTGACAGGCAGTGTCACTCCCATTGCTCCTTGTGGTTTGGAAAGAGAGCGGCCGAGTGAATGTCACTCATGATATTCTATGCTGGGCAGGACCACCATATTAATAACATCAATCATGAGCTTTCCTTAACACGATCTGATTTAGTCTACACTGCAGCTGGGGCAGGTGGGTACTATCCTCTTTGCAAAATCACCGAGAATGGGCCTCAGTGGGGCTGCTCATTGGCCCTGAGGACGTGACAATCCACCGTTGTGTTGGGCTGTCCCGGGCGTGGCCATGCGTCTGGTCTCACCACCCTGCCAGGATATGGCCACAGAGCCCCCGAGTCATGGTGACAGTGGAAAATGCCCCCACACATTTTCAAATGCCCTCAGGTGGGAAAGGGCCCAGTGGCTTAACCCCATCTGTCTAGGCCTCTCAAACCCTTTTCCCCACATCACACCCTAGTGGAAAATGCACATCTGTAACAGGAGACCCTCTACTGCAAGTGCTGTACAGCCCCCAGCCCTTAGACCTCATGACGAGCAAGTGGGAAACATTAAAAATGGAACCTTGGTTAGCCTTTTCCGTTCCATCTCCCATGGTAACAGAGGCAGAGTTCCCATGAAGCTGACAAAGCTAGGCTTCACAGACTCTCGTCCCCCCAAGCCCTCGTGAGTGTGGGAGATGTGGAGAACAGGTCACAGGTGGGAAGGCTTCTAATGTCAGCATTGCCGCGAGCCCCTGAGGAGAACTTAGAAGAGAGGGCCCCAGTTCTCTGAGGCTTACGGAATGTGTTATAATTTATTTCTCACCCTAAAAAACACTAACACCTTCCATACCTAATTTTGTATCTGTATGTTTCATATTCATTTTCTTAAAGAGGACCCCAAATTGCATAAAGCTTAGCCCACAAAACCTAGACCCGTCCCTGAACATCCACGCTGGCCCATGGAATGTCAGAGGGACTTTGTGCAAAAGCGGCTGCCCTCTGTGGCTGACACACGTGCTGAGCCCCTTGCTCTGCTTTCCAGCCTCTGGACTATGAGATTTCCGCCTTCCACACCCTGCTGATCAAAGTGGAAAACGAGGACCCGCTGGTACCCGACGTCTCCTACGGCCCCAGCTCCACGGCGACCGTCCACATCACCGTCCTGGATGTCAACGAGGGTCCGGTTTTCTACCCAGACCCCATGATGGTGACCAGGCGGGAGAACATCTCCGTGGGCAGCGTGCTGTTGACAGTGAATGCCACGGACCCCGATTCTCTGCAGCATCAAACCATCAGGTGGGTGAGCGGCTCTCTAACCAGCAGGCAGGAATTGCTGTGCTTTTCCAGTCGCAGGGGCTGGTTGTCAGGAGAAAAACCACCATTTAATTAAAGTTGTTAACAGTCTGGGTGAGTGGGAGGTACGTGTTGTAAGGAAGAGTTGGCGGTTGATGGCACCAGGGGACTGGGCTCACTGCAGGGAGACACAGCCCCTGCCCCTGACTCCTGGCAACAGACCAGCTTGGGAGGAGGGTGGCTTCAGAGCTGTGCTCCCAAATGACCAGACGAGTCTGCCAGCACTGAGCACAGTCCCCAAAGGGAGAGAGGAAGGAGCCACCATGTATGGCCCCCTGCATCGCAGACACTTGACCACAACTTGATGAGAAAGGCGTTGGCTAACTCCACATATGTACAGATGAGGGTATTACAAGTTCAGAGAGGTTCAGTAACTTGCTCAAGGCTGCCCAGCTTAGTAGCAGACGAATCAGAATGAGAGCAGGACAATCTGCAGAGTCCGTGCTGTCTGCTAAGTGCAATGGATTCTGAACTGTTGGGAGGGAAGGAGCAGGTGTTTCCTGGTGCTCAGAAATGGACTGTCTCGCTTGGGTTTTCGGCTGATGAATATCAGGCCAAACAACAAAAGTCTTCAAAAATTTCTATCTTTAAGCTCTGTCCATTGCTTAGAAAGAAGGTATTTTCATAACCAGATTTAATTAAATGATCATTACCCACAGTGCCAGCGAAGAAAAGATGCCCTCGTTGGTACATTGTTTCACAACAAACTTAAATCAGCACGCAGGTCCAAATGCAGGCTTGTCTCTGAAAAGAGAGTTATAAATCTTTCTCTTCCAAAATCTAATCTTCTTCTCATGTGAGGTACCGATAATCGAGTATTAGACACACTTCTAATAAACATGTGTCTTATTGTCGTGGTTTGAAACACCTGAAAATATGTCACAGTCTCCACATCAGCCACTTCTCCGTGGAGCAAGCCAGCAGACAAGCATCAGAAGCTCTTTTCCAACCCCAAAAGGGGATTTATTTTTATAACAAAACTTTCTGAAGCGCCAGATGAACTAGATAAAGATATGAAATAATACCAAATCCTATAATAATGTGACTCTGAAATAGCCATTTTTTTTTCCTTTTCTCCTTTTTTTTTTTTTTTTTTCCTTTTCCTGCTTGATATCTGGCAAAGGAAATATGCAATTTAAACATCAAAGAGAAAGCCTTCCTTAAGTACTTAGATAGGGAAAGCCATAGCTTAACAGACTGTAAGATAGTTGTACCGATTTAAGATGTCTTTCGGGGAGCTTGACTGTCATTTTGTACTTCTACAATAGGAGGTGGGAAAGGCAACTCCTTGGGGGGAGAAATGAATTTAAATGGGTTGATATCGCTAAGCGTGGAATCTGCCATCTCTGCGTAACTCAGGATGCTGCCAGGCAGGAAAGCGTTAATGTGGGGGGAGGGACAGATGCAGGTGTCCTGGAGTAGAGGTTCCACTAAGGTGGGACAGACCATGGGAGAGGTGGGTCTGTCAGGGTTTTGTAAGAACAGCTCTGGCTGACTTAGGCAAAAGGTGGAATTTGCTGGAAGATTCTATGGATGGTTTATAGAATTGAAGAATATGTCTAGAACCAGGCCCGAATGGCACAGGAACTAGGGCGTGTTGAGTCTCTAGGTGATGGGAACTGACAGGCTGGCGCTTCAAGGTCTCACAGGGAGAAGGGACCACCTCCAGCCGTTTTCCATTCTGCATCACTCGGCCCTGGGGCCACATGTCCAGGGGCGAGTCTACTTTGCCTGAGCTGCAGTCATGAGCCTCCTGACTTAGGGCACTTGATGGTCAACAGAGATGATGCTCCCAGACTTGGCTGTCCACCACGGCAGGCAGCTGACTGAGAAGGAGGAAGGAAATTCCATCTGGCAAATAGAGCGTGGTGCTTGGAGTACAGTGACCGGCCACAGAAAGCAGTCCCAGCAAACTGTGTAGGATTCCAGCCTGGAGAGGAAGGGGGTGACTGGTGAGAGCCAAGACATTGAGGGCCATCAAGGCCAGGATTTGAGCCACGGAGAACAAAGACCTGGTTACTGGAACTGGGGTTCTAGTACAAAGGTACAAAGGTTCCCCATTCTATCACAGGCAGGTTGTCAGTGGCGCCCACTGTGTCAGAGAAAGCAATTTGTAAATTACTAGAGGTGAGACTTGTGGGAAAAGCAGGAATGTAGAAAGCTCTGAAGAGGGGGCCGGCCCCGTGACTTAGCGGTTGGGTGCGTGCGCTCCGCTGCTGGCATCTCGAGTTCGGATCCCGGGCGCCACCAACGCACCGCTTGTCCAGCCATGCTGAGGCCTCGTCCCACATGCAGCGACTAGAAGGATGTGCTACTATGACATACAACTATCTACTGGGGCTTTGGGGAGAAAAAGGGGAAAAAAAGGAGGAGGATTGGCAATAGATGTTAGCTCAAGGCCAGTCTCCCTCAGCAAAAAGAGGAGGATTGGCATGGATGTTAGCTCAGGGCTGATCTTCCTCACGAAAAAAAAAAAGAGCGAGAGAGAGAGAGAAAAGAAAAGAAAAAAAAAGAAAGCTCTGAAGAGCTTCATGATTCTACAGGTGGCCATCACAGGTGTGACCCTCGGTCACCAGCTGCCAGGGCCCATCTCAGAGTGACTTACGCCAAAACCGCATGTATTGACTCACAGGATTGAGAAGTCCGTGGGGACTAGGGCACCCAGCCTGAGAATTCAGGTGCTCAAAGAATAGCCTTTCTCCTCCTCTTGGCTCTGCGCCCCCCTGGGTTGGCCTCATCCTCAGCCACGTCTGTATAGCTGTAGAGGGACGTGGCCACCAGAAAAGCCAGTCCTTGGTCCTACCAGCAGAGAGAGATCTTTCCCATCAGTAGTACTAGTCGAGGGCCAGGTTTGGGTCTCACTGAGCCAACTTGGACACACATCCATCCCTGAGCCAAACAGAATGGCAGGAGGATGAATGTGCCTATGGACAGCTGGCACATGAGCCCACCATGGACCCGAGTCCAGTCATGACAGCCTGGAATGGTGGTTTCCCAAGGGAATGCAGGAAGCTCTTCCCAGAAGATGGGAATGGATGCTGAGTCATCAGGAACCTCAGAGAGCCACTATGACCAAGTTCAATTTTTTGAATCCCCTTGGAAAATACAGCTAAGGTGTTTCTCTGTGGCCAATGTGCCTAAGAGTTCTAGCATTTATAAGTTGGTCTTGCTGAGCAGTGTCTGGACAAATCCCTTTTCTAGCCTTGAAGCAAAGTAAATGCAGGTAGGTGTGTGTGTGTGTAAGACACACATTTCTCTCTCTGGCCTGGCTCCTCAGACACATTTCTCCCTGCTGGGATCCAGAGTCGCCCAGAAGTGACCCTTGCCCAGCCTGGCACTGGCTGGGCCTCCCCTCCCTTCCCCCCTCCTCTCCTGGCGCTGGTTCTGAGCTCATCAAAGGCAAGGATAACATCACCGACAGGTTGAGCTATTGTCACAGGAACTCTTCTGGGAGAAAAGGCTCATTAATTATTTGCAGCCTTTGATCCTGCACGCTTCGAAGCCTTGTCCCCGAGGGGCTGTGTGCAGAGGGGTGAGCAGGGCTGCAGAAGGAGCCAGGCTGGGACACAGTTTTCTAATCATCTGCACTTGGCTCCCCAGAATTCTCAGAAAGACACGATGACCTTGTGAGTGGTGTTGTTATTGTCGTCTTAATAATTCTTCGGGCAGCAGGCACTGGAAGAGGGAGGAATTTACACTGAGAACTCTCACTTTCATCTCCAGGAGAGCTCTGAGTTTAGCTGACAAAGGCACACACACAGAAAAATGCTGTCCCAGCCGTCAGCCCCTAAACTAACGGTCTTGATTCCTCACAATAGCACTGCCTTGGGCTCTGTAGTCATGCGGGTTATCGTCCCCCACTCTGTGCGTGACTCCATGCGTGTGCACGTGTCTTTCTCTCTGTGTCCCTCTCTGTTTGTGCTTATTTCTCTTGGGATATTCTTTGCTCTGTCCATATCTCCCTTGTCTCCAACTCCTCTCCGTATCTGTCTCCCTCTGCCATTTCTCCCTCCCCCTCTGTGTCTCTATTTGCGCCTTCCCCCTCCCTCTATGTCCATCTTTCTGTCTCGGCCATCCGTCCTTCCCTGTCTGTTTGATTCTCTGTTCCTCTCTCCCCTTGTTTCCTTCCCTCCGCCCATTCCTCTCTTCTCTTTCCTCTTCCTCCTTCGTCCCTCTCCTTCCTCCTCCCTTTCCTCCTGCGCCTCCTTCTTTCTCTTTCTCTCTGCCTCCATGTGTCTGTCTCTGTCTGCCCCTCCCACCGTCTCTCTCTCTATCAGTATCTCATTCCAACCTTCTTGTGACTCAGCTCCAAGAACCCCATTTCGTCTCAAATGACTGTCCAGGCACTCAAGGCTTCTTAGCACAGAGGGAGGTGCTCCACCTGACGGGGTCCTGACAGCCCGATGCAGGTCCTGGCCCAACCTTGACAGGCACTTTGGCCTCCTCCCTGAGGGTGGGCTCCTTCCCTCATCAAAACAGGGAAACCCACCCACCCTCAACCCACACAAAACTTAGAAACTTACTTCTAACTAATTCTGGTCCTGGCCCGCGTCCTGTCTTCTGTGATGAAAAACACATCTCAAGTACAGCGATTCCACTGCCGGCCACTGTCATGCACTCTTTTATCTCACCAGGGAACGTTAAATCAGCAGAAGGCTCCTTGATCTCCGAGAAGCCTGTGACTCTAAAGACAGGAGGTGTCCAGGCATCAGAGTGAATATTCTCTCTAAAAAGCCTGAGTTAAAACTTGTTAAAGAGCCTGTCACATTGTGCTCTTAGCCAAATCAAAACGGACAGCAGTGGGCTAGTGGCAGATGAAATTCTTCTTTTTAACGACTTGTATCTTCTTATCCTTATTATAAAGTTAAGACAGTTCATGGAGGAAACTTTTGAGAAGACAGTTAAGAATAAAGAAGATCATAACAAATCTGTAATAATCCCAC